ATGTTCCTGGGCTTGATGTGTGAAATGAATGTCATGGTGGTGGTGTAAGGCTGCTAAAAGAAGCTGCTGTGACATGAAAAGCCTATTGCACAGTGAGCACTGCAGCTCAGGTCAGGCAGGTGGGCTCCTGGAGTGTTTTTCAGCTTTGTGATTGATTGAATTTAAGTGACTTTTACTGAGTTACTAATATTTAATCTTTATAGTTCTCTTAAAAAAAATCAATTATTTACTACTTGTACAAGGAACTGAGAATTATGTACTGGAATTCGTGGAAATTGGAGAGCAGTATTTTACTCCTGGCATTTCTGGTATGTGGGTCTGCAAACTCAGTTCCAAGGCTTTGCCAAAGGAAAACTGCCATGCAGTAGATATATGACACTCAAAATAGAGCAACAAGAGAGACACTGAAAGGCTGAATATTTGGTTAGAAATTCTCAGAATACTGTTTCTTTCAGTCTTGGTCTCTTCAGAGCTGATGGAGACAGCTTCTAAGATATATTTTTTCCTCTCTTGCCTCCCAATCTGGATTGTAATTTCCTGATGCAGGAGATACTGCCACCTTGGATGATTTGTGTTTGTCATGTTGAAGTGTCTCTGGATTCCTGAGTACACCAGAGTGAACAGCCATGAACTCCATGCATCTCTAGGGCATGGGAATGAATGCCTGTGAAATACATAAAGGTGTTACCATTTATTACTTGCTCTGGAAGCTTCTATCTTGCCAAGGGAAAGGAAGTGCCTTCTGTTTATTCTGGATGTTCTTTACTGCTTGGGTTTTTGGAAAGAAGAATTGTTGAGGTGTTTTATTTTTTTTACTTTTGGCAGCTGTACTGCTTTTCAGAAATGAAGGGGAGATGCATGATAGACCCTCGAGTCCAGTTTCTTTTCAGGAAAATTTGTGAGGAACTGCATTGTGAAACAATTCTTGTTATGTTTAAATAATGGATTATTCTTTTGTGGCATTTAGTATTTTTGTTTGAACTTGAATAAATAAATAGAAAAGGGTTTTAACTGTACTGTCCAAATAGCAATTTATTGGTGAGTGGACTCATTGTTACAGTATTGCATAAGTGAAAATTATTCTCATGAACCCGTTGGTTATCTGAATTATGCAGTTCTGCTTTTTTAAAATTTCAGTTGTTTCTATCTAACTGTTCAAACCTGCCAGCTGTGCTTGCATTAACAGAGCTTTAGGCAGTTGAGTTAAAAATACAGATAATCTGTTTTTTTCATGCAGCATGTATCAGGACCGAGAAAGATCCTTTGGATTTGAAAGGCATGTCCTTTGCATTGCCTGTTTTCAGGAGCAGGTTTTCTCTATTTAAGGTGGGGGGGAAAAAGTGATGAAGAAATAAAGAAACATTTGACTTTGCTTAAGTTTCAAAATCCTGCTTGGAGAAACCAGCTGTGAGAGGATGCATGTTTCAGACACTCATCAAGATATTATGACCATAGGCTGAGACAGTTGTTGGGTAAATTGGCAAAATGTATTTCCTAGAAGACTTCACAGCACTGGAGAGGAAAGGAATTGGACAGAGTAAGACTTTTATTCACTGTGTCTGCATGGAAGGAGTTCATGATAGGGAGGTGGCTGAGGTAAGAATCAAGGGTTGAATGTCAGGCTCTATGAACTGAATGTTTCCTCCTGTGTCCTTGTGCCCAGCTGCAGTCTCCTCTTCTTCTCCCTCTGCACTTATCAAAGTGGTTATTTTTTGTTGCACACTGAAATGAGTGGAGGGATTCTTGTTTCTTGGTATGTTGAGGAGGGGCAGAGATACACTTGTGTGATTGTGCTTTGTATGCATGGAAATGCAGGGCTGGAAAGGTTCTCTTGGTTCCTCAGGGCAGATCCCAAGCAGGACTGACATGGCTGAAGACTTGGAAACCTCCTCTGGCCTAAAGCACATCTGTCAATTTAAAACTGTCTAAAACTGGAGTGTGCAGCTCTGACACAGATCATGACTCAGTCTGCTTAAATGGTGGAAGTGGTTGAAGTCCAAAGGACAGTGTTTGTGTAAATACATTTGTATTGGTGAATAAAGTAGACTAAGAAGCCTCAATGTGCTTTTCATACACAGGGTTAACTTTTTTTTCTGTTCTGCCTTCAGAATGGTCTACATAGTGAGTCTCTATTTTCCTGCCAAATAAATTACCAAATGTCTTGGTTGAATAGCAAGGTACTGAACAGGCACAGGCTGAGAATTATGGAGATTCTGTCATTTGATTAAAATGCAGTATTTCAACATCTTCATCATTTTGCAGAATGCCAGAGTAGTGGAGAGGAGAAGAAGGTGCAGCAGATCTAGCAAAGATCCAGTGGAAGTAATACTTGGTTATTTAGCTTTGGTTTGTATTTGTTCCTTTTGTAGCAGTAGCCAAGCATGAGTTTTTATCCTGGTTGGAGATGGAAGGGATGTACAGCAGTGTCCTCACTCTGGTGGTTATTAATTTATCCCTTCCTCTTTAATGAGTGTGCCTGGTGTCAGTCACAACAAACTTAAACCTTGTCATGACTGGAAGTGCCAGAGCAGCAGGTGTAGCTCTGAGCTATGAAAGAGATGCAAGGATCTATGGAAATATTTAATCCATGAGGAGTTCTGCTCTGTGTGCCTGTCTTCTGACTGTTACCAGAGATAGAATAGATTTTGTTTGTTTCTTCTGTGCAAGCTGCAGTGCTTGTATCCTTAAACAACTCTGAAATGAGGAGGTTCCTTCTCTGTTGTAGTAATTTTTATCTTACTAGGACAGTTCTGTTCCAAAGTGTCAGTGCATGTTAGGATTGTCCATCTGTGTTACCACAGAGAATGGAAAAACACTTCTAGCAGTTTTTGAGGAGCAGTATGATAGGCTTGGACAAATCTTTCTGCAGATGACCTTCTGGTGGCCATGCAAAAAGAACCTGGCAAGCACCCAGATCCTCTTTTATGGAGAAGCATTAATTGTCTGCAGACTGCTGAGCAGGAAGAATTATTATAATGAGAGGATATAACTGTTTGTCTGCTCCTGCTCCTCTGCAGCCTCTCATGCTTGTTCTGAGCCAAGGTTCACCTTGGTGTGGTCGTGTTAGCACAGGGCATGAGGCACTGGGGATGGGTCATCTGTACTTCTCTAACTGGGAAACCTATTCTGCTAGCAAAAATTAGCAATTTCTTCAATCATTTCTGCCTCCCTAATTTAATTGCCTTGCAGTTAAGCAGTGAGATTTCTGTGTGACAGTGTTAGAGAGAGAGCCTGTTTCACAGAGAGTGCAGTTCATCTGTATGCACAGGGTCAGCCTGAGATTTAAACCCTCTCTAAGACCTTCTTAAGCTCCTTGGGCTCAATTGCTCCATAGATTGTTGCCTTGCAGAAATGAGGGAGTTTGACATGGTAAGAACAATGGGTAAATTATTTTTGAGGAGGGTGGGTTTTGGTTTTTGCTTTACTCTGTGGACATTTTATTCTTGGGAGATGATGACCTGCTGCAGTCTGGGAAATGTAAGCTTGAATTTTGACATATATTCTTTTTGGGTCCAAGTCACTAAAGACTCAGAATTACATTGCCAAAGCAAATGGTGTCTATAATGTTCTTTGGGATCATTAACAGCTTCTACCTTTGTTTAAGAGTTTCCCATATTGAGAAGGAATAATTTGTACTCACAAATGTTCTGGTTTGTTCTTTGTTTGCCAGACTGACCTGAAAACCTCTGGTAGCTTTTGACTTTTTGAGTAGCTTGAAAAATGTATCAGCATAAATGATTGACTCCTACCCCAATAATTTGTTTTCTTAAAGTAAAAGTTTTGCTAATTAAAAGGTGATTACATTGTTTCCTCACTTTTTGTTACTGTGGAAAGACTTTGTTTTGGTTATGTAGTAATGAAAGAAATCAAATTCTTTGAGTTAGCATTTTCCCCCCTCAGTTTGAGGAACTGATCTGTGTAGTTAAGGCTTGTGGGGTTTTTTGTGTGTTGCTTGGGGGTTTTGTTTTGTTGGGTTTGGTTGGTTTTGTTGAGTTTCTTTTGCAGGGTGGGGGAAGGGTGTTCAACATTTTTTAGATTTGGGGAACTCCAGAAAGTTTACCCAGTTCTCCTTGCTCCTAAGTAAAATCTTTTCACCAGCTTCTTCTGCTTTACTTCACAATTTTGTTTGTGCAGTATAGCTTTGGGGGAAATTGTCTTATGGATGTCTAAAGTAAAACTCTAGTCTGAGTTGCTTCCTTCCAGCTCTAGATGGGCATCTCCTTCAGGGACTATGAAAGATTTCTGGAGTCTGCAGAGGCCTGGAGGAATCCAGTAAATTGCCTCAGAGCTTTTCCTGTCCCATCTGTCCTCTTTCTATGGAGAAGATTATCTGTGAATGTGACTGTCTTGGTGCTGTGTGTTGTTCAATTGCATCCCATGTATTCTGGAGCTCCTGGGACATTCATGAGGGCTGTTCTTAAATTTGGGGCAAGAAGAACTGAACCATGTAGCTTTTTTGACTTTGTGGTCTCTCATTCTATGCTTTAGCATAGGATCTGAGCTGTGGAAATGGATACACATGGGCTTACTTTTGGGCAACTGGCTCAGAGTGGCCCTGATTGAGCAAGGGGGTTGGACAGGGTGACCTCCAGATGTCCTTTCCAGCCAAAACAATCCGTGAAGAATCAATTCCCTGTGTAGATATATTTAATTATATAGGTATGTGTTTAATTCAAGGCAGGAGTACTAGAAGTATACTGTTGTAGAACAGAGATAATTCTGTAACTATTCTGAGGAGAATTAATCATTTTTACCTTTATTTGTGGTGTGTCACTGGGCTCTTAGTGACTGTTTGCTCCATATTTTAAAGCAATGGTATCCACATTAAATGTGAAAACTGGTCATGTTTACTTTTTGAATGGGACAATGAAAAGGGATTTACTTCTTAAGGTCTGTGCCTAAAGTTTAAGCTCTAAAAATCATTTAATGGAGGAGTAACATATTGAATGTATAAGGTAACAGGCAGCACTCTCAAAATGTGTGTTTTCACTCTTTTCCAGGTAATTGAGAATGGGCCCTCAAGGATGCTGAGTCTACAATGGGAAGTGTCACACTTCGCTACTTCTGCTATGGGTGCCTCTTCACATCCGTGACCTGGACACTTCTGCTCTTTGTTTATTTCAACTTCAGTGAAGAGAACCAGTCCTTCAAGAATGTGCCCATCAAGGGGCTGGAACCTCAGAGGCCATTTCCAAAAAAATTCTATCCCCGTTTTACACGGGGGCCAGTTCATATACCTGAATTGCAACAGAAAGAGAATAAGATAGGAAACTCTTTTGGAAATCATATCCAGGACCCAGTTAAGGGGGAGATAGAATTTTCTCCTGAAATGGGTAAGTGGTTTTTAGTGTTGGTGACAAACTTAGTAAAACAACAGGAGAAATGAGATTTTTTATTTTTTTTACAGAATACTATCTCGGGGAAAGTGTATAATGAAGGAAATTTTGTTTGTTAAAATGCAGGTGGTACTCATGGCTCTCTTCATTAGGAATTACTTGAAATTTATTCTACAGTGCTTAATCCAAAATACACTAACATTTACATCTATGCTGTGTAAGTGTTGATGAAGACTGGGTTACAGCAGGGTCTGCCCTTGATGAACTTGCTATTGGAAGGTTCAGTGTGTGCTTGTTTCATATCTTACTCCTGTTTTAATTGGACTCAAATACATAAGGCTTAATTAGCTGCAGAGATTCAGTGTGTGCTTGTTTCATATCTTACTCCTGTTTTAATTGGGCTCAATACATAAGGCTTAATTAGCTACAGAGGAACTGTACTTATATGCAGTAATTAAAAATAACATGGTATCAATGAACAATGAAGAGTACCTGTTGATTTGGAGAATATGCTTGGAGTATAACTTAATCTACAAGAAATGCATGTGGGACAAACTTACAATGCAATGTTGAGATGACAGTGGTTAGAGCCAAATCCTGCTTACTTTGTACCAGCAAAGGTCTGTATGTTTCACTGCAGCATGTTTCATCAATTAGGTGGTTTCATTTTGTGTTCCAGAATAAAATGCTTTGTATATTCTAGTGCTTACAGCATATTCACTGCTGGGTTCAGACATGCAAACAGGCACATTGTGTACTGGCTTAAATCTTGGTTTGAGTCTGGAGTCAGAAGTGTTGTGGCAAAGTGTTGGGGTATTGGCTTCTGCTGCTGCTTTGGGAAATAGAGCACAGAAATGAACCTTCATAGCCAGGGTTTGATGCTCAGATCTCAGTGAAGTCCCCTGTGGACAAACGGTGAATCATGAGCTTTGTGAGTTTATAGAACTTTACCAAACTTCACTTTCTGAGTTGGTCATTAGACCTGTGTGAATGTTAGAAAAATGGCAGTTCATGTTGCCCTGTGGCATCACAAGTGTTTTTCAGTTCACTGCAAAAAGCCTGAGTGCCAAGTGGGGTGAGGGCCAGTCCAGAGGTGGCCATTTCTTTCCAACTATTCAGTCTGGGCCAGGAAAGAAATGGAGCTTTTTAACTGAGAAGTTCTTTGATCTTCAAACCAAGTGACTGGTTTGGTTGGTGAAAGCCAAGGGGAGTTACAGTGCCAGGATAAATTCTACAGGAATCATCAGGAGACAGCTTTCAAGATGAGGTGTTGTAGGAATGGGTTTCCTGAAGTCTGTGTAGGGTGGAACAGTGATAAACACAAAATAAAAAAATAAAGTGAAAAGAAATGTGGTGCATGATAGTCAAAATCAAACTGTCATCTGGTAGGTCAGTCTGTCTTTTGTTTTTTTGTTAATCTGTGAGGGCCACATAACACTGCTGAAGTAAAGCCTAAAATGAGGTTTTGATTGCAAGCCCCTTGTTATCCAAGGGCTTCTCTCTGCTGTTTGAACTGAAATAATTTAGGTCTTTTGCATGCATTGGATACTGTTCTTCATGAGAAGGTTTTGAAAATATTAGCACTTCTTGAATATATTCATAAGATCAGAAAATTGTAGTTAGTGGTTGGCTATGGATGGATTGTAGAATGAAACATTTGAGATGTTTTAAGTTCGTGCTTGGTATGAACAAAACATTTTAAGGTGACCACATTTTAAGGTATCACTGATTATGTCAGAATAATGGAGCTGGGTGCCTGAACTGACCAGATGGAGACATTTCTTTGGGAGTGATGTGGTTCATTAGGGGACTGACTGACCCCTTTAGGCTGCTGGGGCTGGGGGAGTGACACTGCCACTGTACCAGAGCTCATTCCTACCCCCTCAGTGCAGCTCATGCACAGTGGGAGCACTCGCCCCTGAGCAGCACAGCAGTCCCAGGACACTGTGTGGGTGTGTCCCATTTATCTCACAGATATCCCTACCCAGCACTTCCCACTTGGTCCTGCTCAAATGTCAGGGCATTTACTCTGGAGCTGTTTGACAGAGCAGCTGCAGTGCCATTGCTGAACTTGAGACTAAAAGCCACAGAGTGGTAAACAGAAATGGTGGGAATGTGGATGGAATTCCCTCCTGAAGATCACCTGGTACCTGTAGGTAGACTTTGTCATTGGGACACAGCTGTGCTCCAAAGGCCCAGATGGATTACTGGTTTTGAAGCTTTTTTCCATTTCAAACTTTTAAAATTACTTCTCTTTTGTGTTTAACTCAATTAATTTTCTCCAGGCTTGAGCTCAGCTGGTTTTTGCATAGCTGGTGAAAACTGGAGAACACGAGGTGTGGAGACAGGCTGAGAGGATTGAGTTTATTCTGCCTCAGAGAGAAGGCTGAGGGGTGAGATTTTATTGCTGTCAGCAGCAGCTGAAGAGGAGGCTGCAGGGAAGATGGAGGCAGACTCCTTCCAGAGTGCATGGGATTATAATAAGAAGTTGGAGCAAAGGCATTTCAGTTATGGAAGGGGAAAAACATTTCAGTGTGATGGTGGTTAAATGCCTGAACAAGGAAACAAGAGGTTGTAGAATCTCCATCTTTGTGGATATTGAAGGCTTTCAAAACTTAACTGCACTGCTTCTGATTTAGCTGGACCTGCTTTTGGGAAGGAGATTAGACCAGGTGTCCCTTTCAATCTGAATTGGTCTGTGAATGTATGAAGCATATTTTCCTGGAAGCATGGTATCATGTGAATAAGGAACCCTCTTATTAACTGTTTTCTGCAGATTTTGAATGATACAGAGATGATGTGCAGGGTGAAAGGAGATAACTTACACGATCCTTGCTCACTTCTTGTACTGAAATTTCAGTAAAATTGCCTGTGTGGTTTGATAATAAGTGAAGAGGTGACAGGCATCTCATTCTGTGCAGCCAGCTGAATAGAGACAATAAAAAATAATCCCTCTGTTCCCTGAATTGTTGCAGAAGTGCTAGAGGCACAGGTGGTGGCAGGCACCAGCTGTCTCCCTCATGGAGTTGTGTGAGGTGCCACAGTGTTTTGGTTCTGTTCACACTGGTGAGTGCATGGCTCAGTCAGAGAAGCCACTGAGTCAAGGCAGGCAGGATGGCATTGAAAATTTCATCTTACCTTATAGCAGTGCATTTCCTAATACCATCAGTTACTTCTGCCATGCTTAGTCACAGTTGTCAGTTCTGCTAAAAAAATCAAAAACCAGCAGCTCTGCTGGTGTTTTACTTGCAGATCAAAGTCCCAGGTGAGATAAACAAAAGTTTACAGTTCTTGCATAGCTATTTGTGTTACCACGGACTTCAGAACTGCATGAAATGGGAGCTGCTATTGTGAGGATTTTTCTACCATTTTAAATGTATTTCCTCACTCAAAAATCCCATTACACACCTGTCACCTGTAGGGATGGATTCTGATTCATTGTATGCCAAAGTCTATCCTCTGTTGCTTGTTTGATGTTGGATTTAGGTGGTGCTAAGAATTAGAGGCCATATGAGTGAAGGGAGGCAATAAACACAATGGAGCCAGCAGTCTTTGGAGAAGGATTTAATTTTGTTACAGCTGCAAGGGCTCCTAAGTGCTGCCTGTTTGTGAGAGGAAACAGAAATAGTTGCACAAATACACACTTTGCAAAACCAGAGGGATTTTTAAGAGCATAATGGATTTTAGAAGAGGTTAAAGCATATGTTTCAATCCTTGATTTCTTTCAAATGATGTTTTTGAGCCTTTTAGCTGATCTTGGCATGTTTCTTTTGCAGGAATGATTTTTAATGAAGAGGATCAGGAAGTGAGAGACTTGGGCTATCAGAAACATGCTTTCAATATGCTTATCAGCAATCGACTGGGATACCACAGGGAGGTGCCTGATACAAGAGATGCAAAGTAGGTGCTGATTTTTGGAGAGAACATGGTAGAGTTTCATGTGCTCAATGACTTGCTACACCTGATGCAGTATTTAATATTTTTGGTATTTTGGTATTTCTGTCATATACTGTTCCATCCCCATGTGTTGCTGAAGGCAGATTTTTCAGCTATTTAACAGGAGTGCTTGAAGTTAGGGTTTCTATTCTTTGGCCTTTTCTGTCTTTTTTGACTGAATATTATTTCTGGAGATGTGTAATTTTTTTTTTGTCATCTGATAAAGGTATATGATAGGTTGTGCTCTAAATATTTTCTATTAAAGAATAGATATTTTTCTACAATCTACCTGGTGCATATAGCAGGGGAACAACTCACCTCTGTAACAACAAAAAAAAATCTCCAAACACTGAAAAATAAATAAACTTGCATAAATTTTTCTAGTGGTTTCTCTGGTGTGGGTGAATGTAATGAATTGTACTTGCTGATTGTTTTTCCCAGAACTGAGCTAATTCTAAGTAAATGAAAACTTTTCTTCTATACTTCTGGGATTTCATTTATAATTTCTTATTTTTATTGGATCCCGCTGTGCCTGGCACCTTCATATGGCATTAATTTGTGATAGTTGGCCCTATTAGAAGTAAGGACAAGCTTTGAAAATAAGAAGAAAGAATGATCTTTTGCTTTGAGTGGGATTCATCTTGCAGATTAAGATGCTTAGATAACTGCTTGTTAGTCAGTTGTCTCTGCTTTTATTATAATTAGCAGAGATCCAGTCAGTGGAGTTAATGAAGCATGCAGAGCTCTTCAGCTGACAAAACACACTTGACAGCCTTAGGGTGAGCTGAACACTATTTAGACTGCACTGACAGCAGTGACTAGACTTAAGTGTCTTAATCTGCCCTCTGAATCCCAGTGTTGGTTGTGTAAATAGGTATTTAGCCCCTCTGGAGGTTTTCTGGGATATCCAACTGTCTCCAGCAGCTGGCCAATAAAGCTGAGGTATTTTTGTGGGCCTCATGTCATATTTGAACTGTCTGAGCTACCTGAGGGTACTAGACTGTGTTTTGACAGCTGAAACAAGCCCTCACTATCTTCTCTTCTCTGTCATGAGGATCTCTGGTTCTTATTCCCACCTCAGTGCACGGCATCCTCTGTTTCCTAACAAGCAGCAGTGTTAACTATGAGTCTGTGCTATGTGGAAAATAATTTACTCTGCTGAGCCCTCCTATAGCTGTTACACGTCTGGGCTCATTATGTTCACGTTAGGGGTTCCTCGTACACATTTAACATTTGTTTGTTATTTAGGAAGTTTCAGCAGTGACCCAGCTCCATGGAAACCCCTCTGTAAATAGTGACAAAGACTCTGTTTGCAGATGCAGAGAGAAGTCCTACCCTGCTGACCTGCCCTCTGCCAGCGTTGTGATTTGTTTCTACAACGAGGCGCTGTCGGCCCTGCTGCGCACGGTGCACAGCGTGCTGGACCGCACGCCCGCCCACCTCCTGCACGAAATCATTCTGGTGGATGACAACAGTGAGCTGGGTGAGAGACTCTTTCAGGAGTGTTACTCTCCTGGGCCTTCCTGGGCTTTATTGACTGGTCTAAATAAATTGTTTGTACTGCAGCCCGTCAGCAGAGTGCCAGCCAGTGGAAATGTGTGGTGTCCAGAGGTGCCCCAGGTGACATCCTCTTTGCCACTGGTGCCATTTTACTGATGAATTTTGTATCATACAGGCTTTAACATTCATAATCAGGTTTGAAGCTAATAATCATAGAGTCAAGCTATGTTAGGGGGCTGTAAGGGGCCTTAAAGATCATCTAGTCCCAATTCCTGCTGTGATGGACAGGGACACTTCCCACTAGCCCATGTTGCTCAAGGCCCTGTTCAACCTGGCCTTGAATGCTTCCAGGGATGGGGCATCCACAGCTTCCCTGGGCAACCTGTTTCAGTGTTTCACAACACTCACAACCCTTATATTCTTCTTAATATCTAACCTTAATTTTCCCTCTTTCAATTTCTACTCATTGCTCCATATCCTGTCACTACAGCTCCTGGTGAGTCCCTCTCTAGCTTCCCTGTAGGGTTCCTTCAGATACAGGAAGGCTGCAATGAGGTCTCCACACAAACTTCTGTTCTCCAGGCTGAACACCCCCAGTTTTCCCCTGCCTTCACAGGGGAGGTGCTCCACTCTTATCTCACCTCTTGCACACACTGATAAGTGGAGGTCATGAAGCAGTTGTTCATAGTTTGGATTTTCTTAGGAGTTCCTGGCTTGGGCTGCTCAGAGCAGGTGACAGAGAGCACTACTCGCTGTGAATGCATCAGAAAGGAGCTGGAGGCACTCCCGGCTGCAGCCTGGCCGATGGGTTGCTGTGGCACGATGGGAACAGAGCTGTGTTTTGTTCTGAGCTGGGGCCAGGCTCTGCGTGGCTCTCCAACAGCCTCTTGTGGCCACGCCGGGAGCGGCTGTCCTGGCTCTGGGAGCAGCCTCTGCTCCTGCAGGCTTGGAGGGGCCCTGGAGGGGTAGACTCTGCAGAGTTGCTTTGCTCCTGTTGAAGGATTGCTGCTTTTCCTCTCAATTTACAGACAAGGCAAAGACAGGCATGGTCCTCAAAAAGCCTTTCATTTTGGCTCTTCAAAAGCCAAATGCCTGTTGAGGAATGTGCTAGCATAGCAGTTCTTGCCAGCATGACTGTGCAGGTTCCCTGCTCACCTTTGTTCAAGTCCTTTTTGCATTTTAAAGATTTTTTTAGATTGTATTTTTATTTAGTATATATAATTATAGCTCCCTTGGTCTCATTGTTTGGTTTCTGGTTTAAGGTCTCACTTGCTCTAAGAGACTCATTAGATATGTCTGGTATAGAATGGCATTCTCTTGTTTGCTGGAAGTTGATTTCTCTGAGATCAGATCAAATGTCGAGATACAAGAGAGAACAAAGACCAAACTCTGTTCCTTGCTGATAAGAATGTGTAGTAATTAAAAGCTTGTTTTGTTTTGGGAGCATATGCCTTGCTATAAAGTGTCTTGTGCAATTTGTTTTGTATTCAGAGCTTGCCTTATTTCAAAACTCAGTCTTTGGAATGCAAGGATGCATTTGATTGATGCCTGTGTTGAGGCAGTAATACCATCATTCTTCTGGTCTGTTGTTAAATTAAATCAACTAGTGAATTTGAACCAAATTAAGTTCAAAACATTCAAGTAGCTATTTTTGTCTTTCTGGCTTCAAATGAATTTTTTCTGAAGCCAAAGGCAGGAGGAGGTATTGTTTACACAGAATTACTGCCCTTGATTCTAATGATCTTATGTTTTTGCTGCTGCTTAATTTTAGTGGATGGATTCTTACAGGAGAAGAAAGGTGGGGGTTGGGCATGGTTTGGAAACTGAAGAAATGGATAAAAACTTTGGCTGTGCAATGGATATCATGAGCTCAGGCAGATTGCTTGATCTTTATGCTCCTTTGTTTTGTTTTTTAAAGATTCATTTTCCTTCCATTGTTTGCCTGCTTTCTGAAATGGTGTTCTACATGAAATTTTCTCTAGTTCTTCACCTGCAAACATGAGAGCTGTGGTACACATCAGTGTTGTGCAGACCTTGGGCCTTTGCACCCAGTTTTGCCTCAAAATCTTCTTAGACTCAACCATCAACAGTTTTACTAGCCAAGCAGCCATTGCCATGGCTCAGCTGAACTCACTGCTGCATTTTTCTCCATTCCCTGATAGGCAGGATTTCTTTTTCTGGTATAACCTCTTTCTCCCTGATTTAGCCTTAACTGTTGTGGAAAAGCCTGAGGATGTGTTTTGAAGGCTGGTACTGGAGGCATTCTTTTGTGTAGAAGGAGAGATTGAGGAACAGAAAAGGAGCCAATTGTCTGCAGCTCAGTACTTTAGAATAGTTTAAAATAATAACACTCCAGACTCCCATCCTAGGGCCCATTTTGCCTTTGTTGCATGGATATGGAAGAAGGTAATTTCTAAAGTAATTTTTGAAGACTGGATAAAAGGGAGCAAATCTCTCTTTGGAGGAAAATTTCTCAGGCTGGATTGAAGCAATTTTTTGGGTTGTATCAGAAGTAGTCAGTGTTCCCAGTGGACATGGAGGTGACACACAAAAACCCATCAACAGCAAAAGTCCAGAAATGTATCTGAGACAAACCTGCCTGGTAAGAATGATCTGTGACATGGGCACAGTTGCCAGCAGAATGCCTGTTTGTGTGGGTCAAAGCTCTACTGGCCCTTCCCTTCCATTTTGCTGCTCAAGCCAATGTTGTGGACCTGGTTTAGTTCCTGGTGACATCTCCTTTTTTTTTTTTCCTTCCTGTTCTTTTCAGAAGTTTGCAGATGTGAAACTCCTTGCTTTTTTATTTGCCTCATCTGCTGTAAGAGTTGAACTTGGTAACTGAGCTTTTTCTGCTTTGTGCTGTCCCATTGTTTCTGCAGGTGTACACTGCTCTTCTCTTGCTACAATGAATCAGGTGAAGAATGATTCAAACTTTATTTTATTTTAGGTTTGCAAATCTGCCCTGCTTGTTTGGGTATCTCATTCAGAGATTAAATAATCAATTTTCTAGGAGATTTTCTCTGAAAACATCTTCCTTATTGTCTCTGGCATATGATGTCATTATTCCAGACCAGGAGAGAGAATTCCTGTGACCCAAATGAATTCTGTCTGCATCTCCCCAGAGTTTCCTTTGTCTTAAAGTATACTCCAGCATCATACTTTGTGTGTGTTACCTTCTCACTTCTGATCCACCATGTTTCCTTTCAGTGCAAAAGCTGAGATCTTAAAATTTAGAATGGCATCTGGGAATCTCCTGCCTGAAAGTTCTTGTTCCTCCTTAGTGTTACAGCTCTGACTTCCACATATATTCCATTTCATATCCTGTGACAAAAGTCTGTCTGCCTCTCTACACCAAGGTTCTCTAGGAAATCTCAGTTGGGTTTTTGCTTTTCTTTCTCGTTTTATATTCCTCTTTATTTCTCCATAAGCTTATTAACTTATGCTTTTCCATTACTTCAGTCTTTGTGTCCATCTTCTCTTCAGTAGTTCTGCTTTAATGTTAGAAACCAGTGACCTTGGCTGAAAGAACTATTGTTACTCTTAAAATTGCCATTGATGTCAGCTAAGTTACAGTAGTGCCCATAGACTCCAGTGAACTCTGCACTCCTTCAAAAGCACAGGCTTGCCAGCAGAATCTTTGATCCTTTTTGGTTTTAGAAAAGCAGCCAGCTGTGAGTTGTACTTGGTATCTGTTGTTCTGTCAGTTAAACAGGCACTGATAATATAAGGTGTCTTCCTGCCTCTTTTGAAAGGTGTCAGCATTTGTTTTCATGTATGGAATGTAGTAATTTAAATAATTTGCCTGCATGAAATGTTTATTGTTGCATCAGTTGCAAATGCCAGTCACCATGAGAAGAATTTGGAAATGTGTTTCTTTTAACAGCATTTTTTTTGAGTCTAGTAGTTCCAGTTAACTTGAGTAGTGTACCAAAGGCATTGGAGGGGAAGTATAGGATGGGGAATGACTGTCCTTAAAATACTCTTAGTTTGAAGCTCTGCTGTGTCAGGGTAATGTCTTCATCAAGATTTTGGCCATTTTTGAGTTAAACATCTTGAGACTTTAAACAGAGCTTTCAGAATGTCTTTCCTGTTGTTGAACTTGTGTTTTCCTTTTTTCAGCTGACTTGAAAAAAGACTTGAGTGAATATGTTAAAACCCAGCTTCCTAAAACCACAAAATTGGTAAGAAATGAGAAGAGGGAAGGCTTGATCCGAGGAAGGATGATTGGAGCCTCTCATGCCACAGGTACACTTGCTTTTCTCTCTTTTCCTTGCGTGCTTTGACAATTGGTTGATTGGGTGACTTCTGTTTTTGTAGTGCAGCTTTTCAGATGCTGGATGTTTGACCTGTGGTTACTTCAGCCTCCTGAAGGGGCTCTGCATGTCATGCCACACTCTAAGCTATACAATTTAGCATTATCCCAAATCTTTCTTCCCCTCCACTGTCTCAAATGATAACTGAAATCTGGATCCAAATCTGAATAGTTTTTAAACCTTGAAACACTTTGGGTGTCTCAGCTGTTGATTCTTTTTTTTTTTCCTGGAGACATTTGCTTTCAATAAAATGAGGTACCTTTTTAGAGTGGGTAAGTGAAATTGTGAAACAAAACCAGTATTGTGCTCTAAAAAAGTACCTCATTTTATTGAAAGTTATGAACACAAGTTATCACCATCCCAAATCTTCCCCTACACTAATATCTCAAACAATAACTGCAGTGTTAATGAGACAATGTAGAGTTTTTCCTATTCTTGCCCTGAAAGAATTTTGTCTCAGGAGCATCTCCATGTGGTCAAGATACTGTAGTTGCAGAATATTTTTTGCATGTTTTATGTGTGAACTTTTGCTCTAAAATAAAATCTGCTCCCTTTTAAGGTACACTAATCTAGTTGTTAATGCTCAGATCTAATTATAATGTTCTTCTGTATAAGCTCTTCTGTTGCAGTGAGTGTTAATTAGGAAAACTAATATTTGGTGATTCATAAGCAGCCTTTACTAGAATGTGCTTTCAGTTAAATTCTCTGGCATCTGAGAAAGTGTGTTATTTTCTTAAATAATTTTGAGTGGCAGATAAGTCTCTTAATTGGTGTTTACTCATTACCATTGTAATGGTATAATCCAGAGAGAAGATTGTGCTTGCATTTTCCAAGCTGTGCTAAAATGCATTTCAGTTAGTGCAATTTTAAGTAATTTTATTACTCTTCTGAACTGCAGGAGTTCCATCCCCATGCCCAGTCAAATACTGACTGTGGGATGTCTTGTTATGTTTGTATGCTCCAAAGTTGTTTTCTTTAGACCTGGTTCCCATGTTTCCTACATTATTCTATTGTTATATAAATTTTATGTTGTATCATAAAGATGCTGGTGCCTTTTTAGACCAGCTGAGCATGAGGGTGTGTCACAGATCAAACTGTTCTTACTGACTGTGGCAGGTGATCTCCGTGTAAATTGCCAAGTGTTGCTTTGTCTGATGCAGTGTGTTTTTAGTGAATTGCATGTTTGTGTTCCGTGGCCCCATGGATCTTTGTGTGCTCTGCAGGGAAGGTGCTGGTGTTCCTGGACAGTCACTGTGAGGTGAATGAGATGTGGTTGCAGCCTCTGCTGACTCCCATCAGGGAGGATCACAGGACTGTGGTGTGCCCCGTCATCGACATCATCAGCGCCGACACCCTCACCTACAGCTCCTCCCCCGTGGTGCGGGGCGGCTTTAACTGGGGCCTGCACTTCAAATGGGACCTCGTTCCCCTGGCAGAGCTGGAAGGACCCGAGGGAGCCACTGCTCCAATCAAGTAAGGCTCCTCCTGCGTGGTGAGCAGCTCTGTGTGACACAGCAAGTGCTCCTGATCACCCCTAAGCCGTAGGGAATGTTCTCTGGCTGTGCAGGTTTAGGAGCAGGTGCCTAACCTGTCAAATATCTGATTTCTTTATTTCACTTAGGGAATATAACCAAAACTATTACACCTTAACTTCTTGCATTTAATCATGAATTAGATATATGTGTTTTATTAGGTCAAGAAAGCACACTTCTAGAAAATGCTTATACAATAGCTGCTTTTGCTGAAGACAAAATTCTGAGGGAGCTTATGGTAGTCTGTATTAAATCTATCCAATAATTTCACTTTTGAGCTATGCATTGATGTTTGTTTCCAATCTGTTGATGTGCTTGGTTTAATGATAATTCTGACACTGCCTTTGTTCCAGCAGTAGCCTGCATATCGCACTAATATGAACGGTATGATTTCTGTGATGAAGTGCTGAAGAATTACTTTGGGATAGATTGGGAAAATCTGTTTATGGTAATAGGAATTTGGTTTTGTGGTCTTTTGAGAGTTGTTTTGAAACAAAAGTCTCAGTAAAGCTCAACACTGGGACTTGAAAGTTACCTTCCTTATCTTTTAACCACTGATGGCTGTGTGAGCTGTACAGAACTGGCAATATCTGGTTCTAGTGGACATGTAGGTGATGTAAAATGATGTCAGCAGACATCTTTTATTAGGAACAGACGTGTGTGGTTCAGACACAAGAATAGAGCTGTTCCAAGTGAATCCCTTCATGAAAAGGACCAGAGCTGCTACATCAAAGGCAAGAAGCTCACTGTGCTTTATCTAGTTGCAAATATCAATCTCAGTACAGAATTCAGGTTTGTCAGGTAGAGGAGCTTCCCCTTTTTTACAAAATAACTCCTTGTGAATAAGATTTTCCAAGTGAATCAGAAATTAGGTGTGTTTTAATTTCTCTCTCATTCTCTTTTCTTGGACTGTAAATGAAGAGCATTTCTGCTGCCACAAACAGTTCCAGCACAGGTTCTCTGTCATCTGACAGCTCTGCAGCTGGCCTTCCCATATCTCCCCATCCCAAGAGTTTGTCTGAGAAGCCAAGAAAATTATTAAGTTATTTAACAGTTTGACTGTCTGGTTTGAAAAGTGTCACTGTGGCAATTTCTGAACCTGGAAAGAAAGCACAGACTGAAAAAATCTGAGTGGGGAATCAGCACTGAGTGTTGAAATCCTTATTCTGTGAAGAGCTATTCTCACATTTAATTTGGTCAGTGGCTGAAGGTTAGCTGTTGCTGTGTTCAACACTGTTGTTGCATTCCTTCAACTCAGTTTTATGAAAAGTCCTATGCTAAAAAGACAGAGAGTTTTATAGTTAAAACAAGTGTAATAATCTCAAAAGATAACCTTTTCTGAGTATGAAAGTGATTTTCCTACCTAAGGGTCTCTGACTACTTTCAATAAGGAGCCTAGATTGCTATTTAACCTTGAAAAAGGCTTTCCATCCAACAGAAAGTCTTGAATTTTAGAGACTTTCCACAATGAAGTATTTTGGTGTCAGAGTGGGAAACTTGAGAGCAACCTTTCAACCCAGTTTTTAAGGTGACAGAAACTGTAGTAAAAATTTATGTGAGAACGAGCAATGAAATCTTGGCCTAGGCTTGGTTTCATCACGGGGGTTTTTGCAAGGATGGAAAAAAGCCTTTTTCCAGCCCATGGGGATGTTCCAACTATCATATCATGTTTTTATGTAGTGTTTTTACTCTGTTATACCCTTGTTGGTCATCCACATATTCCAGTGTTGTGATACAGTAGGAATTCAATCTAGAGACTGAACAGTGAGGGTCTATGAAGATTTTTAAAGAATAGAACAGATTCTAGTAACATGCAGGCAAGGTGAAAAACTGGAAAATGCCAGAGGGACCATCTGTATAAATACATGAAGTGTAAATAACTTGCCAGTAAACTGATAATTGAGTTATTGAGGAAACAAAGCTGCCTCTGGCATTTGTTGTTCCTCTTTCTCTGTCCTAGCCCTTTTCCTCAAGTTTACCAGGTAAAGAAATAAGATTTATAGATATTGGAACCATGGAATATCACAAATATCACTTACAGATCTGCTTTTGCAAATGTTTTGAGACTAGAACTCATGTCTAAGTGACTGAAGGATTTAAGTTGTGTTATTTCAGTTTATAAATGTGGAATTTGGGACCAACAGATTCAGCAAAAATTACTGTGTGGTTTTTTTTCCTCTGTCTGAAAGAAAATGAACCTCCTTCCATGCACCTTTTCAGGTCACCCACCATGGCTGGAGGGCTGTTTGCCATGGACCGCGAGTACTTCAATGAGCTTGGGCAGTACGACAGCGGCATGGACATCTGGGGAGGAGAAAACCTGGAAATATCTTTTCGGGTAAGCAGAGAATTTGCAGCTCTGTAGTTGAGTGTCTGTGGCTTTTTCTTGGGTTGGTGGTGGAGCTTTTCATAATAGCTGTAAAGAAGCATAGGGAAAGAAGAATTATGCAAGTTTTTGAAATTAGTTTATGAGCATTGTCTAATGAATTTCACAAGTTCATTAGAGATGTGTGGCTCACAGCAATATTGCTAAGACTTAAGTATATGACATCTTAGTATATTTCCTTGGACAGTTCAGCCTCCTTTTTGAGGACCTGGAATTGTAAAGTTTTCTGGAACTAAATTGAGAGTCATGGAGAGGAGTTGTCTTGGTTGGAAAAGTAATGAGAAAATCATAATCAGAAGATCTGAAAATGGAGCTGCATTGGGCTTCCTGTGTTTTCTCTCATCTTCCCTGTCACTCCACTGAAAGAAAAAAACTTACTGTGCTTAATGTTGTGCTTATCTCTTTATTTTTGTAAAGGGCATTCATCAGCAGGTTTGACAAGAGTCTGCCTGAAAATGATAGGCTATCATGACAGATACTAAAAGGGGATTAAAAGGTGAAGTTAGCATAAAAAAAACCAAACAAACCTAAAACCAGACACAAAACCACCAAAACTTTAGAGAATCTGTCAGAAAACTCAACATTAGTGTTCAAAAATAAGAGCTGGAATTTCATACATTTGAGTGACTTTAAAGGAGTGTGTACTGAATAAATAAAATCTTTCAATTTTCAGTATAAATGTAATTATTAGGTATCTGAATAGAAGTGTGTGGAGTGTGAGAGATTATTGTTGTTATCTTGTAATACACAGTTTCAGTAAAAAGGGCTTTGAAATATTGGAACACATTCAGAGGATTTAGAGCTTCTGGAAGTCCCTGTCTCTCTGGGGGAGGGTTGGAAAGAAGTTCAATCTTTATCTTCTCTAGAAAGAGTTTTAAAAGTGTCTTGATTATGAACTGCTAATGTGGGATGATGTTATGGGCCTGGAGAACATATTAATCCACCAAAGGACCAGTGCTGGTAATTTGCTGGAAGATGAAGTTAAAAAAGCAATTAAAAAAAATAAATGGAAGTAGAGTGTAAATAAAGTGTAGATCCCTGGTGCCAGAGATAAAGACTCCTAACTGTAGCATCTGAATGGGAACAGTGTTTCTGAGTTCCCCTATCTTAGCAGAAGCAAGCAGCTCTGTCCAATAAGTTTCCATACTTAGTTCCCTTGATGACAAAGGCTGGTCTTTGTTATCTGTCACAGAATTGTGGACAATTTTCATGCAGATAAATAAATTTAGGTAACTTAATCTGCAGGATGAGTCCTAGCCCAAAAATCCCAGTCTTTTCTGCTAGGTTGTTAGAGCAAAACAGCAAAATTTTCTGTTTGTCTCTTGAAAGCCATGATGTGTTTTGTGGAAAGTGTGGTCATATGAGAAAAAATTATCTTGTGTAGCATGGAGATCTAGAAATCTAATTTGTCAGAAAACATGACATGAAGGCCAACATTGCTGGCACCTAATCCTGTATAATGTATAAGGTATACCTTGAAGAAGGGGAGAAGTTAGTGAGCAGTCTGAACAGCAACCTGAACATGTTCTGTTTTTTTATGGACAGATCTGGATGTGTGGTGGCAGACTTCTCATCATCCCCTGCTCCAGGGTGGGACACATTTTCCGTAAGAGGCGTCCCTATGGCTCCCCTGGGGGACAGGACACCATGGCTCATAACTCCCTGAGGCTGGCACATGTGTGGATGGATGAATACAAGGTAAGAGGCAGCTCTAGGTCATGAAATCAATTTACTGAATGGTTATTGACTGGTTTGTTTGTCAAAGAACCCTGTCGTAGAGGAAGCTGTTATGTCTCTGATGAGGTTTTCCTTCTGTAGCCTGAACTCCTAATATTAGTTCTGATAGGAGTTCCTAATTCTGTAGAGTTGTCATTTGGCTTTTGAGTGCTCAAGTCTCCTCCTTGTTACTTTTCTGCCTGCAGGAGGTTGAGTTTATGCCTTTTTAGTGAAGTAAAAGATGATGGATGAGCTTCTGTAAGCTCTGCTTTGCTTTGTGTCCAAATCAGTATTATGTGGCAGCCATGTACTGTGCCTTCAGGTAGTTTCTATGTTGGTAAGATAGAGATTTTTTTTGGCTGCTTGTTTGCTTTCTATTTTAATTAGCAATATGCTTCTTAGTCTGTCTTGCCCTGGAAGAGCAATCAGGATTAACTTCTGGATTCAAGGGTGAGTGTATTCCTTCCTTGTCTTCAGATCTTGATACTGATGCTTTTAAACATAGATCAGGTGCTTCTGAGTCCCTCATCTCTGGGATACTTAATGACATTTTGCCCTCTGAGACCATAGGATTTGCTGTGTATTCAGTTCCTGTAGTCCCTACAATTTCTATATAAGATATATTTAATTAATTTTATATTCTTTAGAGGTTTATGTTTCCTTTCCCGTCCTTCACCTCGATCTTCAATTTGAGGAATCTGTTAGAGGGCATTAATTTTTATCTCCATTCTTCATCTCTGTAATGCTTTGGTAGATCTGATCTATCACCTTCCCTTTTACCAATGTCTGGGCACAGTTGTTTTGTGGTTAATGATGGCTTTCTCTGAAGCTTGGACTTGTTTCTTTGTTATAATTTCCTGCTGAACTGCTGAATTTCCAGCAAGCACTTGAACTGCTGATTCTAGCAGTCTCTTATCACAGATTTGTGTCCAGAACTTTTCCAGCTGTTTCTGCTCTGATTCTCTGATAGCTGCCAGAGAATGTATGGAAGACAAGCTTGGAAATATATTTTTTAAATAAGAATGATGCAGATATTTAGGGCCAGTATAATTTACTGTAGCAAGATAAGACTTAAATGAGTAAATATCAGTATTTAATAAATGAAATGGCATAAGGGAAATGATTCAGCAGAATTGCAAAGCAAAAGTATAAGTTCGTGTGTACAGTGGTAATAAATAACAGATGCAAGGTAGGATACCAACATTTGAACTTAAACCAGGAAAGAGAAAATTAGAATAGCAGAGCTGCTTTTTCAAGCAGGCCAGATTGTGATGTCCAGTCTGTCTCCAGACTTCCTCAGAGCTGGCCAACAGTCCAATGTACACCCAGTACACACTTCCCCTTCCTCTGCTGTTAAAACAGCAGTGATACACCAAGCACATCCAAATGCTCAAAGATCTTGGTGAGGAGAGGTGTGTAACTTGTCCAGAGGTGATTCTGTCTGTTCTCTGAGTATCAGATAGCAGGAAATAATTGAAAACTGTCAGAACCACATCATGGTGGGTGAATTCCAGATGTCTCCTAGAGATGAATGCAGCAAAATACCATAGTTCAGTGGCCTGAAAACTGAATTCTAAATAGTACCTAGTAAACAAATTCATTTGCAAATACAATGCCTTTTCTGTGGGCTCTGTAACTCTTTCTGGAATTAAATGCTAAAAAGGGATTTTTTTTTTAACTTTTAGCAATAGTATTTGTGCCACATTATACATTCATGAGTTCCTGTTTGTCCCCATTGTTGTCTCTGCATTGGAGTCAAACAGATTGGGTTGGAATCTTAATCTATCTTCACCTAATCTGTAAGATTCTGAGTATTATCATAAAATAGGATGTGAAAAAAAAACATTGTGGGAGCCTTCTTGGAGATGATGCAGATGAATGGAAAGAACTGAGCTTCCCAGAAAGCCCAGGTGACAGTTCTGATCATTCACATGAATAAGGTGTGTTCCCACTGAACTTCATGATATTAGTCCCATTTATAGGTCTATTCTGGAATGGTTTTGGCCTAATCATTTGTAAAGTTGGAAGGCTGGAAACTGTGTAAGACAAAACTCACTGCAATCCCACAACAATGAAAACAATCCATTGAGCAATCAAAAATAATTTCAAGAAACTTTTGTCAGATGAGGCTGCTGATGGTATGTGCATCTGTTTTTTACTTACTGATTTTAGGATGCCTGTATTGCCAATGGAATAAAGTCAGGGACTGATTTCTTTCTTCCTCAAGTTGGCATCTAAAAAAGATCAGGACATTTGTACCCAAGAATTATCTTTAAAAAAAGCCAACAAACACCCTCAGTTAGAAAGATTAGCTCAGAGTTAGGCAAGATTAAATCTCACTTCCTGTAACAATTCAAGTATTGCAATTTCCTACTGCCAGTTTCAAACCTACTGAAAGCACTAGCAAAATGAAATGAAATTTTGGGAGTTCTGGAAACAGGAACAATTTGGAAGTCAGTAATCTGAAATTTTTTTCTCCTTTTCCCCAACCTGTTTCTCTTAAACACAGGAGCAGTATTTTGCTTTGAGACCTGAGCTGAGGATGAGGAGCTATGGAAATATCACTGACCGTGTAGAACTGAGGAAGAGATTGAACTGCAAGTCCTTTAAGTGGTATTTAGATAACATCTATCCTGAGATGCAAATATCTGGGCCCAATGCCAAAGCTCCACAGCCAGTTTTTATTAATAGAGCACAGAAACGACCAAAAATAATCCAGCGTGGAAGGGTAAGAGAAACTTAAATATATGGAATTCTGGTGTGTTAATTATTATGAGACTTTTTCTTAAAGATTTTCTCAAATACAACAAAAATAGTCTGTTTCCATAAGCTTTGCAACAAGCTGTCTTGAAAATAACAGGATTTTTGTCAAATCAATCTGATCTATATTTCAGATCATCCTTAGACTAGATACTGTTCCATGAGGTTTCTTACCTTGAAGTTCTGGTTTAGGAAGTTTTGCAGTCTTTAGAATGTGTTTTCATGGCTGTTGGTTCTGAAGATGGATTTGGATAGAGAAATTTGGCCTCAAATATTCACACTCTGTTGGTTTATGATAAGAGTACAGTGTAATTAGTTTCCAAACACATTGCTTTTACTGGGTAATTTTCTGCAAAGGTGAACATTTGCATCTGAGGCTGATAATGGCTTTTCTAGTCTTGGCTGTTAGCTAATGAACAAAAAATGAGTTTTTCTCCTCTTTTTTGCTTCAAAGTAGAAGTGAAGAGAGAAATTTTTATGTGTATTAATGAAGGAGATAATGATTGAATTCATGCCTTAGCTCTGACACATTTGCTTATGGGTTTGTATGCAGGCAGAGTCACCAGACAGTTGCATCTGCTCTTTCCAGAGTCAGATTTACTTAAAGTGTGCTTTTTTGTGCTTCCCAAAAATAATGGATAGTTTCAAACCCAAGGCAACTATCTCAATGTCTTCTCTGTGGAAGAAAAGACTCTGGAATGAACTGCTTCATGTGCACACAGGTTATGGTTAGCAGGTTCCCTTTTAACTCAATAGTTGGAAGCATTTAGTAGTGATGTCGCCCCAGGCTGCAGTAGCTGCTGGTTCTGCAAGGAGTGAGTCAGGAGGACCTGTGTTCATGCAGGACCTCTTGACACCATTGGATTTTTTTTCTTGGAAGCAGCTGTCTGGGAATCCTCAATTTGTGCAGTATTTTTATAGCAACATCCCAGCCAAGCTGTGAAGTTTGTTATGTGGTTTCCCTGAATAAAACTGATGGGCTGATTCCCCTAGTTGTTGGATGCTGTTACTCCCCTAGTCAGACCTTTTCTTCTTTTTAAAAATTAATGGCTTTTTGCTTTCATTCAGACAGAAATTTAACAGATATTGTTGATTTTGGAGAGAACCCCTTGAGGAATCTGAATATCTCAGCATAACACTTAAGGTTAACTCTTCACAGCAGTTACTTACCATGGCTTAATTTTGAGAAAAACTTTGTGCACCCCTTAAGAAATGGGGAAAAGAAGCAGAAAAATGCAATTCCTTGGCTTGGTTCTCTGGGGTTCAAGAATTATACCCAGCATTGTATGAGAGAGTCAGCTTTGGCTCTGATGGCTGTATAAACTATTTCCAGATGCCTGCAAGGAACAGAGTGATCAGCCAATGTCACCACTGTGTGCCAGACTCTTTAGGATTTGGGAGGAATCACTCCAAATCTCAGTTTATTCTCAAAAACTAATTGGGCCACAGATAAGTGGTGGTTTGACAGCTGGGAAGAAATGTAATGATCACAAATGGTTGCAGCTGTTACCAGGGTTATCCAATGCTGGCCATCGTGGCAAATAAAACAAAAAGGACAAAAATCATACAAAACTCATGTAGTCTATGGTTTAAAAACCTTCTGTTGAGTGAGGAATGATGAAAATGGGATCTGTGCTAGATCTGGGGTGTGAGGAAATGTTGCTTAGAATGTTTTGTGTAATTTGTTCTAGATGTGTGTGGGGAGCAGGAGAAGCACGGTGCACTCAAGGCAATTGTTGTTGTGCCTTGGGACAGCTATTTCCAGAAATGGTGTTTAGTGAAAAATATTATTTGTGCTAATTGTTGCTATCATGTGATCAAGCAGTTTGTTCCTTTTTATTACTGGAAGTGTATTTTGGTTTCTAAAAATTTGTAGAGTCAACAGCAATGCCAAGACAGCTATGGATGTCTTCATAATAAAGTTCAGCTGGCTAGTTAATCAGCCTGGCCTGGAGTTCAGGACAGTAAATTCTTTTTTCCCCTCTACATCCAGCTCCAGATTGGAAAGAAGTATTTTTAATGTGGGTGTCAGATCTGAGGCCCTGCCATCTCTCAGCTCATAGTGTGCAGGCAATGTTGGCTGCCTGCAGAGCCTGATCCCCACCACATCAGGGGAAGAAAAATAATCAAGCTGGAAAGAAGTCATCTGCTGGCCAGCAGTTACTTCAGAGCATGTGTGTAATTTAAAGCCAGAATCAGAGGTGTTTTCTCTCCCCGAGTAGCTCTGTGAGGATTCATCAAGATCTTAATGATTTTTTTAATTCTTGAAATAGAACAACCTAAACTTTGTACAGCAGAAAATGTTTTGGATGTCTCTTAGGGTGGGCATCATTGTTCAAATCAGGATAGATTGCCAGCTTGCTGAGAGCCTCCTTGTTTGCTTTGATGGTGGGTGCTTGCAATTCTGCATCACAGGACAGGCTTCTGACCTGAACTCAGTCCTCTGATGCACCATTCCCCTAAGTCAGACTACTTGGGGCATTAGAGCAAAAATAGCATTTAGATGCTTGTAGAATGTTCTCTTCCTCCCTGATCCATCAGTATAACACCATAGCTGATAACAGTGGCTTTTCAGTTACATAAATGCTTATGAAAATCAGTTTGCTAACAACAGAAATCTCTGCAGCTGTTTTTATTTCTCAGGGAGGTGGTTCTGATCCATGAAGAGAAGCTGCAGGAGGAGACTTATGTTTAAGCTAAACTGTAGTAAAATGCAGTTTAAATAATTTAATACAGTCAATATTCCTGAGTAGAATTTGTAGGGCCTTAGACTTCCATGGAGAGTGAAGTGGGCAAAGAACCTTGACAGAGTAGAGCCAGGATGTGTGTACTGCACGTGTACCAGAGAGAGAAATCTTGATGTAATTAGAAAGCAAACTGGAACTGTTTCATGCAGTTTTTTCTCCAAATTATCTGAAAAACAGAATGGTATTTTAAAAGGGAAGATTATTTTAATAACTGGAAGTGTTGGCTGAGTTTTTTTCAGCACATTGACTATCAAACTCTTTTCCTTTTGTAGCTGTATCACCTCCAAACCAACAAATGCCTGGTAGCCCAGGGCCACCCAAGTCAGAAAGGAGGCCTGGTGGTGGTTCGGGAATGTGACTACAACGATCAGAACCAGGTATGAGATTCCCAATGATACTGAATAATAATTCATGTCTTTAAAATGACCAATATGTTCTCCTGCTGGCAAAGTGCCCTGGTGTGACATCTCATCAGCAGACAGGGTCATTCAAACCACAGGACACTGTGGAGCTCCTCCTAATGCTGAGTGTTGGCTATTATGATCTCCTGTCTTTATGGCATGAATCTCTCTATTTGGCTGAAGCTGCCCTAAATTGGCTCCTGATGGGTTCATAATCCACTCATTGGCACTTCAGGATTTGTAGCAGCTCTTTCTGTTGGTTCCTCATACTGGAATTTAAAGCAGCCCTTTCCTGCCCTGCTGGTGTTTGTGTACTGCACACCCAGTCCTCTGCTGCTGGAGTGGCTGCAGTTTGGGATAAATGAATGAATTGTTGTTAAATAAAAGGAATTCAGAAGATTCTTTGGCTACAGGTGAATTGCTGATCTGGGGATTAGTTAGAGATAGATGTGAAAACTTAATGAGAATTTTTGGATCACTACATGAAGCCTTTGCTGTTTCACTTCTTTCAGGTGACAGAAATTCAGGACTTGGATAAAAAGTCTCCAGGATAGAGAGATCTTCAGCTAATGCCATAAAGGCTTACATAGCTAAGAACTACTCTGAGAACTTTATGATTTAGGAGCCCGTGGGACCCAATTCTGAAAGCTAGTTTGGAGCTAAAGAGAAAAGTAATCAAAGGCACAGAATAAATGGAGCATGGCACGGGCAACAGTTCTCAGGCTATGGAAACTGCAGCAGTGGATTTGTGATAGTCCCAACAAAATGCTGTGTGCTTTGTCACCTAATGGGACTTTCTGCCTCCTGGTGTGGCCTTTCCAGCTGAGTGTGACAGAGGGAAGACAGAGGGGTGTTTGCAGTTCTCTGGATAAGTGTGGCTGGCTCTTGACACGTGGCCTCCAGGTCTGGTTGTCAGACAGGAGCAAGTACAAGTACATCCTTGTACTTCACCTCTGGAGCACTGAGAAATCATCACTGTGACTAAACTGCCAGTTCCTGTGTTAAGGGGGGATTAATTAAAGCTGGCATGAAAATGGAGTCGTTCCTATTTGATCTGTTCCATTGGCTGTAAGACAGTCAGCAAGTCTTATAAATAAAAAAGGCTGTGTGAGTGTAATAGTGACTGATGGGCACCAACCATCACCAAGTGATTGGACATTTGCAGTGCCAAAGCTGCAGTTCTGAGCCATTCTGTCTTTGGGTGAGAAAGCCTGGGCATGGTGTCTACACAGTTATGCTTCCCTTCTTCTTGCTGCAATATTTCTCATAATGAAGTGCCACATGCCTGAAGGAAAATCTCTGTTGATTTTCCACATCAAAACTTTTTTCTGACTTTTTTTAATCCAGGAGAACAAATCTCAGCTATCCCTTTGGTGCTGAGAAAGACAAAATCTGTGCTCTGACTGTTGATCTTTGGCTTCTTTTCTCATGAATCTGGTTTACTAGTGGTAAATGTAGCAATTTTTTCTCATAAAAAACCTGGCTGTGCTCTCTTCTTTCACAATGATTTTGTTCTCCAACCAAGTATGTCAACCAACACTGTTTTTCTGCTATTAGACTTATTTTGTTCTCCTAATAAATCCCAAGAGTGCATTCAGCCAACTTGCTGTCATAACCTCTTGAACAATCTTGCTATAGATATGTGAGAACAATGTAGAGAAAGATGACTTTTATTTAGCAGCTTCTTATAAAAATAGCAAGAAACACCCTGACTATTGGAAGCTTTTAACTGTAGTTCCACTCAGCTTGTTGGCATTTTCAGCTGGTTTTGCTCTAGAATTATCTGTTTTGTGCCTTTATCCTAGGAAAAAAGCCTGTGTTTGGTCTGATGAATGCCTGTCTAAAGTCATGGGACTGGCCTTAAAAGCAATTCTGTTTTGCCTTTGGTTTATGCTTGCTTTGTTTTCTCTAGCCTTCATGGCTGCTAAGCAATTTCAAATTCTCATTTAACTAGATTTAAAAGAAATAACAGGTATTCTGTAGCTTTCAGTTGTATCAGCATTATGGGCAATCCTTTTCATTGTAGTTGACTGAGATGGTCATCATTAAGTAGAGTTGAAAATTAGTCAGGCCCACCACACTGTCCTGCTTTCTCAGGCTTGACATGACTGACACAGTTCATATTTTTGCTATAGAAACAAAAACTACTTCCCTTTTTATTTTCTATCTAGAAAATATATTAAAAATTATGTCTATAAGTTATAATGAAAACTAGGATGCTCCATTAACTGTAGCAGAAACACTCTGGGATACTTCTGGGGACTGGACACATTCCCAGTTTTAGAAACCAAAGTCTTCACAGTGATGCTCTCCTAACTCTGCTAGTTAGGAAGTGAATGCAGGTTGAAAATATCCTTCATCTCTGTTGCCTCTTTCTTTATTAGATTAGATTTTTTAATGGTTGTGTTTGGGGTTTTTTTTGGTGCTTTTTTTTTTGAAAATACATGGGAGGATAAAAGAAGAGAGCTCTCAGAAATGAGACATAAATCCTGTCTGCCTACAGACTTTAGATACTGTGCTGCCTGCCAGGAGTTTCTTTCTTGTATGGGGCTGTTGCTCCTGACAGCCTTTGGCAACAGGAGCTGAACATTATCCTTTCAGTCTTCAGCAGAAGATTAGTTAATAATTTTTGGAGTATGCTAAGGCTTGCAATTGTGTAGCAAAGAAACCTTATGGGGTGGCTTTGCTTTCCTGGTGCTTGAATCTGTTAGTAATCTGCAAATTCATAGTGATACTCTAATCTGGATTCAGGACCAAATTTGGGCCTATTTTTCCTCTTTCCTTTGTCTTCTACACTAAATACATAATTAGTTTGAAATTAATTTTGGCTGTCTTGTGTAAGCCTTTCTGGAGAATTATCACACTGGATTTAAGCCCTGCCTTGTGTTCTTTGCCATTATTCAGTTTTTTATTGAAGATCTGTTCCCTGTGTCACTGCAGTCTTCTCTCTCCATTCTTACCAGCTCATCTCTTGTTTGGACTTGGCTCCATCATTCTTCTTTCAATAGCAGTTCTCTCTGGCAAGTCCTGCCATTTCTCCATTCTCTCCTCCCTCTTTAATCTTGCCATGCTTTCTTTTCCATGGCAGGCTTTAAACAGAAAAGACAATTTTAGAAGGCACAAAATGCCTGAGGTTGGGGCAAATTTTAATGTGATCCCTGCACTACTTCCAAGGAGGCCTTCCTTGTGTTATAACAGTCACTGTGATAATGAACTGTGTGCTTTCCAGTCATGCTGTGCCCCAAATCCCAGCACCCCCCAGAAGGCTGCTCTTAGTTTCAGAGGCCAAAAAAAGAGACAAAGCAAAATTGAAGTGCCTGACTCAGACTCTCCTGTTGGTTATGAGAGCTCCAGGTCTTCCACAGATGTGATCTTGGCCAAGGGAGGGAGAACCAACAGCTCCCGCAGTTGAACCAGGCTGCTGTTCCTGCTTCCCTGAATGTCCAGCTGTGCCAGATGTGCCTTGCTGGGAGCCAGCAGGGTTTGGGCATGAATGGCAGCAACTGAAGGTGCCTGACACGTTTCTGTGCCAAGAACAAAAATACCTGCTCTGTTCAAGCAGCGTGTGGGAGAGGACAAACAGAGGCAGCTTCAGTGTGTCCGTGTTGCTTGTTGGAACTGACAGTTGATTTTTTTCAGTGTGATCACAGAGAAACTCTTCTGGCATGTAAATTCAGGAACACATTTGCAGTTGAAGTTGCAAATATGAACCAGTGCATTCCTGCTTCATGCAGGTGGGCCCTGGGGAAGGGGCTGCATTCCATTCTCACCACATCCAGATGTTGAAGCATCTCCTCTGTAGGTGAACAAAGATTCAAGGAAACTGCCCTGAAACATTGCAATAAATGTCTTTCTGTGTTCTGTTTCAGGTCTGGATTTACAACGAGGATCACGAGCTGATTTTAAATAATCTGCTGTGCTTGGATGTTTCGGAAACTCGCTCGTCCGATCCCCCTCGTCTCATGAAGTGCCACGGCTCTGGTGGCTCTCAGCAGTGGACATTTGGGGTAAGTGGAGAGGCTGCCATATGGCACATGTAATCAGTGTCTCAGTCAGGGACAGGAGCACTAACAGGACATCAGGGTTGAGTTTAATTGTGACCAAAGCTCAGATGTGCCAAGGCAGTTGCAGTGCACCAGGCTCAGCCCATGGTTCAAGCAGCCCGACTTTCGCTGTGCTCTGGGACATGCAGGCCCTTTGCAACAAAGAAAGGCTCAGTGGAGCTGCAGAAACCTTTCTTCTGCCACTCACAGCACTGTGGCTCATCTGGGATATGCCAGAGAGAACAAAATCCACCCCAGAGCTTTGTTGTGTTGTGTTTGCAGGCTTGAGAGGCAGGAGGAGTCCACGTGGTCATTCCTGCTTAGTGCTTCAAGAAGCACAGGGCAGAGGAGTTGCTTCTGCCCTGTTATTGATCTCATTAGTTTAATTGTTAAAGCCTGGAGTGGCCAATCTACAAATCTAAGCCAGTGCTGCTCACACATGGAATTTGTTTCCTGGGTGTTCACTCAGAGGCTGCCCCTCACATGCCCTCAGCCTAGCAGAGGGTCTGTAGCACCAACATGGTTGAACCAAGGGAGGGAGAGCCCTACCAGCACTGCCAGTGAGCTTCCAACACAGCTCTGCACAGCCTGTCTCAGGTTCCTACCATGCTGCTGCTTGGCAGCTTCACAAGGGGAGTCCCAGAAAGGCTGAATTAGGCCTGAAGAAGGCTCAGAGGGGCATGAAAAGGCAAATGGAAGGTGTGGGGCACCTTTCCCATAAGGAATGTGAGAGCTGGCTGGGGCCCTTTAGGTATCAAGCCTTTTGGAACAAGGGGAACTCCACTGAGTCATTGATACAGGGAAATACTAACTGTGCACTGCCAGCTGTGGTACAAGGCTTGGATTGGGGGGAATCAAACAAAACAGTGTTTTGTTTTCTTACCATGTCCTCCTGCTTCACTGCACATCTGGTTGTGGCCAAAAGCAGAGCAGAGCCTGGCACGGCTGTGCTCCTGTATCTGCTCCCCCTGTGCACAGAGCAGGGGGTGGCTGCCCATGGGAGCTGCTGGGGCTGTGCAGAGAGCCCCTAACAGACAGCTGCAACAGGCTGTTAGTGGAGGAGATGGCAGAGTCCTCTAAAGGATCAGATCTGTTTCCTTGTCACTCTTGGCTGGGGCTTGGCACCCACCAAGCACAAGGCCTGTCACAATGTGAGGCAGCTCCCCAGCGTGTGGGTGCTGAGGGCAGTGGCACTGCTCATGCATGGTCAGATGCAAACAGGTACCTCTGTTCAGCCTAGAGAAGAGAGAGCTCCAGGGAGACCTTAAAGCATCCTTGCAGTGCCCAAGGAGGCTTCAGGAGAGCTGGAGAGGGACTTCTTCCTAGAGCATGGAGTCATAGGATGAGGGGGAATGTCTTTAAACTGACAGAGGGCAAGTTCATGTTCAATATTAGGAAGAAATTCTTTGCTGTGAGAATGCTGTGATGCTGGTACAGGTTACTCAGAGAAGCTGTGGATGCCCCATCCCTAGAAATGTTCATGGCAAAGTTGTATGGGATTGGAACAGCCTGGTCTAGTGGAAGGTGTCCCTGCCCATGGCAGGAGGGTTTGACCTAAATGATCTTTAAGGTCCCTCCCAACCCAAACCATTCTAGGATTCTATGACCTGTCTGTGCCCACTACAACCTTGTGGGCTCTCTCTTTGCTGAGTGCTGGGGAATGGGTTTGATCAGCCCTCCACCTCATTAAAAGACTGTGGTATAAACAAAATCCCAGCTGGGGGCCTGTGAGGACGCGAGAGCCTTTGTTTCAAAGTCTGGATGTGGTTATGGGGTGTGCTGTGCTCTGCTGCTGTGGGTCTGCTGTGTCAGGGAGGCTGCTGAAAGGCTCATTCGTCAGAAGGAGCACCCCCTCCCCTCGGGCATCACTTCCAGCTCCAGTCTGACAATGGAGAACAGAGATTTTAGTAAATAAATCCCATCTGTCTTTGTCTGCCCTAGAAGAACAACCGCCTGTACCAGGTCTCTGTGGGGCAGTGCCTGAAGGTGGTGGATCCACTGAGCCACAAGGGCTACGTGACCGTGGCCATCTGCGACGGGTCCCTTCCTCAGCAGTGGCACTTTGAGAGCTGAGGCAGCGAGGAGGTGGCTGAGGAGAGTCCAGCTGAGCCTGGTGCCCCTTCGGCCACGATCTGAAGTCATTCTGGAGGGGTTTGTGCAGAGCCCTTGGCTGCTACACCTGGCACAAGCATGGAAGGACCTGCTGGAATGCCCTGCCCCGAGGAGCTGAGCGTGGGAGGGTCCAGGAGGTCACTGGTCCCTGGTCACACACTGAGAGCAGCAGCCCCACTGCCCCAAGGAGTCAAATTCATCATCAGTTCCTTGGATGGTCCTGGATTATTGGACTGGTTTTAAGTAAGAGAAATCATTAGAGCAATGTAATTTAAATGGTGAGATTTCAGCTTTGTGGATCTTCTAAATGACAATGACAGAATGGAGACCTCCTTGACTATTTCATGTGCAGTATCTCAATAATTTACATTTCTAGTATG